TAATTTAAAATTAAGTTTGGGATCATCTCTTAAAATTCTCAATTTTCCATTAATAGATTAAAAATTATTAGAGAAGTCCTTTAGCTTAAATAATCTATTAGAATTTAATTTATTATGGAGATTGAAATTTTAATTTTGTATTTAATTATTTAACTTTTAAAAAATTTCATAGTTTTTTAAATTTCGTATGAGTCTCTATCTTGTATTAAACAAAAAAAATAAAATTTATAATTATTGATATGTTAAATATAAAATTAAAATTTATGTGTAATTAAATCATTTAATCTTATATTTAATGTCGGTAAATAAAAAAAATGTTTTATTAGAAATTTCAAGGATTTATTAGACACAAATTTATCGAAAATAAGTACTTTTTAAAATTTAGAAAGTACATGAACTAAACTTTATGTTAGGGATATACACGAGTTGGGTTGGAAAAATCTTTTAAACCAATTTCATTAGGTTGTTTGTTAGACGAACACGACTCTCCATAATGGTATAATATTGTCTACTTTGAGTCATGGTCTTGCTTTGGGCTCTCCAAAAGGCTCATTTCAATGGAGTTAGTATTCCTCCCTTATAAATTCACGATCATTCCCTAAATTAGCGGATGTGGGATTTTTAACGGTGGCTACGAGAGGTTAGAGCAGGCTCTCCAAGAGAACCACAACTGATTTCCAGAAGGTCCGGCGCGGCGCTCGGCCTGCCGACACCTGAACCGATCTCTTGCAGAGTGCGTGGTGGCGACGGCTTGCTTGTTTGATTAGCAAAGCCCACCCACGGGCTCGACGGCAATTGGGTCGTTTGGCCCAATTGGTTTCTTCCCCTGAAACCCATTGGGCCCGAGATTGGGCCCAAACTCCCGTTCGACTCGAATTTGGATAGTATGTTTATAAAGGCGTAATGATTAAAAATTTCAGATAATCCCCTAACTCATCCATCGCATGGAAAGTATTCATATAAATACTCAATTGGAAATAACTTTTCTTTTTAAAAAATCATAAATTATAATCTTTTTAAAACTATAATTTTAGAAAAATACCATATAAATCTACTTAGCTGACCGATGGTGATCGATGGTGATGCTAGTAAACTGAAACATCTGAGTAGTTAAAACATTTATTAATTTCACAATTATGCTTAAATTTAAAATAAAAATTAAGATACCAAATGTGCACCTACCATCTTTTATGGTAATGTTTTGATCTTAATTTCGGCTTCAAATTGTTGCAAGTCTTGTTTTTTTAATATTCAAACAAGTTTTTGCTCCTAAAATAATTTTGAAGTTTTTAGAAAATGAAGTTATTTGTTGGTGAAACATTTTGACCATTTTTATTGATTTTATTGTCTTATTTTAACATATTATGTTAAAAGTAATGGATTGGAAGCTTTTTATTTGGCTTTATTAAAGAAGAATAGAGTCAAAGATGTGAAGAACAAACAAATGCACTAATTAAGGAGAGAAGAAAGATGTATGATATTGTTCCACATGCATGCTTCTCCTTCACCCGACAATATTCATCATTCAATCTCTCTCTCTCTCTCTCTCTCTCTCTCTCTTCTTTCTCTCTCTCTCTCTCTCCCTCTCTCAATCTCTCTTAATCCCTCTGTCAATCTCTCTCTATCTATCTCTCTCTTAATCTCTCTCTCTCCCTTTCTCTCTCTCTTAATCTCTCTCTCCCTCTCTCTCTCTTAATCTCTCTCTCCCTCTCTCTCTCTTAATCTCTCTCTCCCTCTCTCTCTCTTAATCTCTCTCTCCCTCTCTCTCTCTCTTAATATCTCTCTCCCTCTCTCTCTATGTCTCTCTTAATCTCTCTCTCCCTCTCTTAATCTCTCTCTCTCTTAATCTCTCTCTCCCTCTTAATCTCTCTCTCTCTCTTAATCTCTCTCTCCCTCTATCTATCTCTCTCTCTCTTCTCTCTCTCTATCTCTCTCTTAATCTCTCTCTCCCTCTATCTATCTCTCTCTCTCTCTATCTCTCTCTCTATCTCTCTCTTAATCTCTCTCTCTATCTCTCTCTTAATCTCTCTCTCTATCTCTCTCTTAATCTCTCTCTTAATCTATCTCTCTCTATCTATCTCTCAATCTCTCTCTCCCTCTTAATCTCTCTCTCTCTTAATCTATCTCTCCCTCTATCTCTCTCTCTCTCCCTCTCTCTCTTAATCTCTCTCTCCTCTCTCTCTCTCTCTCTTCCTCTCTCTCTTAATCTCTCTCTCTCTCCTCTCTCTCCTCTCTCTCTATCTCTCTCTTAATCTCTCTCTCCTCTCTCTCTCTCTCTCTCTCCCTCTCTCTCTTAATCTCTCTCTCTCCTCTCTCTCCTCTCTCTCTATCTCTCTCTTAATCTCTCTCTCCTCTCTCTCTATCTCTCTCTTAATCTCTCTCTCCTCTCTCTCTCTCTCTCCCTCTCTCTCTTAATCTCTCTCTCTCCTCTCTCTCTATCTCTCTCTCTCTCTCTCTCCCTCTCTCTCTATCTCTCTCTTAATCTCTCTCTCTCTCTCTCTCTAGATCATTATATATTGAAGAACATGGCAAGAAAAATAGGAAAGACCCAACACAACGCAACAAAGAAATGGAAAACCTCCTCCTTCTCCTATCTCTCTTTGCTGTCTTTCCTTCTCTCCAAGCTCTTCCATGGAGTACCCAACACAACAACAACAACCAACAACCCTCCAACCTTAACAACTTCGAAGGCTCCTCTGACCTTGTAAACCTCGAATACCACATGGGTCCCGTCCTTGCTTCCCCTATCAACCTTTACATCATTTGGTATGGTCATTGGAACCCTAACCACCAAGACATCATTAAAGATTTCATTTTCTCACTCTCTTCTCCTCCTCCTCCTCCTTCCCGTCGTCCTTCCGTTGCCGAATGGTGGCGAACCGTCAAGCTCTACTCCGACCAAACTGGCTCGAACATCACCGGGACCATCCATCTCTCCGGCGAGTTCCACGACTCGTATTACTCACAAGGCAACTACCTGACCCGTTTAGCCATACAACATGTCATAAAAAACTCACTCACTCAAAATAATCCAAAAGCTTTGCCACTAAATCCTTACACTGGCCTTTACTTAGTCCTCACCTCATCAGATGTCCAAGTTCAAGACTTTTGTAGGGCAGTGTGTGGGTTCCATTACTTCACATTCCCGGCAGTTGTTGGCGCGACGGTGCCGTATGCTTGGGTCGGCGACAGTGGGAAGCAATGCCCCGGCATCTGCGCCTACCCGTTTGCACGACCGGAAGGGTCGGAGGCTCCGCCGCCGAGCAAGATCATGGGGGCGCCAAATGGGGATGTGGGGGTAGATGGGATGGTGAGTGTGATAGGTCATGAGTTAGCAGAGACATCAAGCAATCCGTTGGTGAATGCTTGGTATGCAGGAGATGATCCAAGGGCTCCAACGGAGATAGCTGATTTGTGTGTGGGATTGTATGGGTCGGGTGGGGGAGGGGGCTACGTTGGGAATGTGTATAAGGATAACTGGGGGAATGGGTATAATTTGAATGGTGTTAAGGGGAGGAAGTTCTTGGTTCAATGGGTTTGGAATCCTGTTCAAAGAAGGTGTTTTGGACCAAATGCTTTGGATTAATCTTTTGATTGTTGTATTTGGATGAGTTTTTTAGGTTGTTTTCAATGAATGTTTGAACTTTTTACAACTGAATTGTTCTCATTGTTCATCCTCTTCTTCTACAATCTTAATGTATGTTCCTAATTTTCTAACCTTAAAACATTGTAAAAGATGCTTCAATCAATTTTCTGGAATAAAGAAATATTATTAGTTCAGGTTTCTTTATCTTTTCTTAACTGCGCTTTTCCTCAAACATTTTAAAACGCGTTTGGTAGGGAGAAATTTCTACATTCTTATAAATAGTATCTAGCTCCCCCTACGTCCTCGTCCTCGCTGGCGCACTGCCTGGTATCTAGCTCTCCCTATGTCCTCGCTCGCACACCGCCTAGTATCTAACTCTAATACCATTTATAACAATGGCTATCAAAGGGTCCAACGTGCTCGTTAGCACACGACCCAAAAACTAGCTCTAGTACCATTTGTAACAACTCCAACTCACCGGTAGCAGATATATTTTGTTGTTTAAATTATTATATCCGTTAGATTTTAGTTTTAAACTTTCAAAATATCGATTTCAATCCTTAAACTTGTATAAACAATCATTTTAGTCATTGTTACCATACTTTAGTACACATACTCAAAGCTACCTCATCAATACACTAAATTTAAAATAAAAACACCAAAATATTTGTTCATTTCAAGTCCAAAGACAAAAATTACACCTTTCAAAAGAATTAGGAACTAAAATGTATGAAAAGTTCATAAAGTTTAATAATGTCAATTTTAAAGTCCATTAATACAGTTAATTACGGAGAGACAAAAGTGGGTGCCTTTTAGTTCCAAAATCATTCATGGTGCAATTAACAATAAATTTTAATTTAACTATAATAAAGTTGGTAATAGATTAAATCATTAACTATTTATTTAAATTAATAATCAATAATTTGCCAATCAATTTACTCCATCTAGATATGTTAATGACTGAAATATGTTTAATCAATGTCAATCAACAATAGTAAAACAAGAAATCACCATCAGTGAATGATAATAATAAAACATCTAAAGTTAGTAATTTGTCTGTAATAAAAATCAATTAGCTAATAATTAGTAATTAACTAATCAAAATTAATGAATTCACAGCATAAAAAATAGACTTACTCAATCAGAACTATATTAACTACATTAACAGTAGCAGGCAAATACTATTATGATGCTCACAGGAAAGAAACAACAAGGAATATAGATTCTAATGCCTCTACTATGTAATCAAACTAGCTCTTGCAAGAACAGTCGAGCGCATATCAAGGAATTTCAGCTTCCAACAACAGTCGAGCTCATATCAAGAAACGCTAAATCATTTTGGCTCTTTCATACGGGAACTGTAAAGCACACATAAGAAGCAGAAGCAGAAGCAGAAGCAGCAAGGAGTTCCTACTTTTTTGGGATGGAAAGCTGAAAATTTGTTTTCAAAACCAGATTCTATACAAAAAAGGAGGGGCTAATGAATCCCCCAACATGAGACAGTTAGAAAAAAACAGCACCGACCATCCGTTCGAATCTAAGCTTCCCTATGTCAGTACATTTCATGATGACTTGAGAGTTCTATACACCACCGACCCCCACAGGAAGAACAAAACACTAACTTCTACAAAAGACAAATACCTGTGAAGTCTGTCCGCTCTTTAATTCATCAGAGATGTGGCTTGCCGCCATATTCATGTGCCAATTCCAAGTAGCATTTGCAATATCACTGTTGCAACAAAAAGCTTCATAGTATTTTGATTAAAACAAAAAAGGTATCATAGTAAAAACACGTCAAAAGAAACATCCCGGATCATCGTAGTTCAGTTTCGGGTGTAAACGCTCTTCATTTTCATTATGTTGATTTCTTCTCTCAATCACTTCTTTAGGAGCACTTTCTGAAGCTGAGTTCAGAGGGCTTGGGCTTTCTGTCACGGCGTAATAACCTTGATATGGTTCGACCATTTTCGAGCTTTCAATTAATTCCTTTGCATTGGATTTGTTGCTGACTTCATTAAACCTTATAAAACTATTCCCAGCATTTAGTTCAGAACCTTCCGAGGACAGTTCTTGCCAACTACATAAACCAGAATTATTCAGATTTTGAAAGGTCGTGTGATCCTCTGAAGTTGAACAATTATGAGTAAGACGACAGTTCTCGTTCACTCCAAGATCTTTGGAGGTATAATTTGAGGATGCTATCCAATCTTCAGAACCATTTCTATTAGACCCGTAATCGTCCTCATCTGTTGCTACAGTTTCGCTACCCATATTCTTGTCTTCATCATCGACCAGCCAAATAATATCTGGCAATTCGACAGCGGGACATAATTTCTCTGTCTTGTCCATCTCAATCATATGATCATACTAGCTTTCCCTTGTAAGAGACTATCTAAACTTTGGGAAACATTATTGGCATCCCCAGAATCACGCAACTCATTATCGGCAAAATTTGGTCGAATCAACTTTCTTCTTTTCTGTTGAACACCTGACAACTGAACACTTCCAACATTCACATTTTTCCCTCCAGTTGGGACACGGGCCCCAACTTTGCATTGTTTTCTTCGCCGCTTGAAATCCACAAATGATCCAGCAATATGGTTAGTGTTACAATCTGTACTGTCCTCATTTTTTGTCCCATGTTTATCTGAAACTCGAAAGCAATTACTACCATATGAACTAACAGAAGATTTTGTCAATTTTTTCTTCACAAATTTCCTGCCAACATTGCGCTCTGGACTTCTCACTTCGTGGTTAGTCTTCTTCCTTTGACAGTGATGTCGTTGCAATATAGACCTAATTTCATCATTAGATGGATCCATAGAAACCTTCTCATGGTCATAGTCATTAAATTCTTGTACACTTGCATCAGATGGATAGGCTAAACGAGAAAACACGCTGCTCTTTCTTTCACAATCAGAATGCATGCCTCCATTAGATCCATGGCATTCATGTCCATGGTTCACTGCTGTATGCACAATTGAGGGCATCCTCGAAACTTCAACAGAATCAAAAGGCAATTGACAGGGAAATTCTCTTGTCTTAGGAACATGCTCATAATATGCTTCCATAACTTCCTGCCTTGCTAAGCCCTGCTCATTCTGATATGGGAAAAGGGTATCTTTGAGTCCATAGGAAGGGTACTCGCTAGTGATGATAGACCTACTCAAGCCTCCATCATTTTCGAACTCTCGTGTAGGCAAAGAAAGTAAGCTAGGAACAGAACATGACAAATTTATTTGACTTTGAATCACAGAAGGACCTGTAATGTTTTCTAAATTTACAGACGATTGGAAAGGCATACTAGTCATGCAGTCTAATTGGCTGTAGCGGCTGGGCTTCGTGATTTGAGCATAACTTAGGAAACCTGAATTACATGCAAGGTTTCTAGTATCCGTATGAGAACAATGTATAGAATTGTCTGCGGAAGGAATTCCATTTCTGATATTATAATGGGAAAGAGTAGCATTTTCCTGCATAGTGTTAACTCGGTCTTCACCCTTTATTAGCTTCTCTTGTAAACTCCCATTCAACATAAGCCCATTACCATCAGCAACACTTCGACTTCCATCAAGTAAGAGATCACTTGAACGCTCAAATGAATCACTGCTTAACTGTCTCGGACAGAGTCGGTCACTAAATTTTGTCAATCTAAACAGGGATAAAAGCCTATGCACCTACATTTTTCATTATGAACAAAGAGAAGTTTTGAGAAGGAAATGAATCATGACGGTCCAGCATTGAAGGAAAAACAACAGACCTGAACTTTAGACAGCCCAAAGTTGAACTTCTTTGTTGAAAAGTAATTTTCTTTTATGGCATTTTGAAATTGGTCTTCAGAAAGGGGATTGCAGCACCAAAGTATGGAGAACGTAACCTAACGATAGCGATTAGAAAGAAGGAACAAAGTCTTAGACCAGAAATTTTAACGACATGACAACGTTACTCACATATGCAGTACCTGGAAAGGGAATTGCTGCCCTGATGAGCTATAAGCATGGGGCACAATGTTCATTGCACCATCTGAAACTGCCTGAAATACACCATGAAGTACTCTATTCTCGTATTCAAACAGAAATAAAATCATCCCAGATTTAATTTGTAGTACAAAGTTGCCTAGCCAACATGGAAGACCAAATAACTTCCTTTCGAAGCATTCTGTTATAGTCATACTATTTGACATAAAAATTGCACCATACTCTGGTACAATCCCATGAGCAGTGTTTTTCATATTAGCCACCATTCATTCGCTGAATGAAATGCTGTCAATTCCAAAACTATAATACATACAATAGAAACAAAGAATTAAGAAAAATACAGGGTAATTATGTGACTTGGGGGAAAAAAATGCCTTCGTATACAGGGTATTGTGTACAATGAGAACCAAATTATAGCTTCGGCTTTTCCAGGTACATGCACAAGACACCATAAAACCCTAGCCCTCGCTTGACACCAAATTAAATAAGCATAAGGATAACGATCAATAAACAATCTTTAAATAAAAAACAACAACACTAGAACGTTAAAAATGCAGCAGATGACCTAAGAACCAGACAGCAATACTGCCGATCCCTACACTGCCAAATGCACTAAACTCAAACAGTTCTTTAGAGAAATAAGTTTGATGAAGAAAAAACAACAACAGAGCATGCGCGCAATCCAAATTCACACGAAATACCTACAACAATAAATCCAAAACAATACCATCCGGGAGAGAGTGACCTCAAAGGCACATTGGCTTGAAACCAGCGAGAAACTGAGAGTAAAGAATCAAACGGCCATTCGAGAAACAGAAAATAGTGTATGGAAGGAAGAAGAAGAAGAAGAATGAGAGGAAATTCACAGAGAAGAAGAGCTCCAACGTTGATGGAAGAAGAAGCAGAAGAGAGGAAAGCGAATGTTTCAATTCCAGAACTCTCAAATTGTTTTTTTATTCTTTGGAAAATTACTATCATAAATATTTAAAAAATAATATAAATCTATTAAGATATAATATTTAAATAATTAATTATAAAATATATTAATATTTTATCTTCAGATTGGATTAATAATATATTTTATCTTTTATCTCAAGATATAATTAATTTATATTTTCCTTTATTTTATTACAAAAAAACAATTATAAACATTGATTATTCGATTTTATTGTTTTATTATATATTCATAGTAAATTTAATCTTATCAATTAATTTTTAAGGAAAATTTACCCTTTTTATTTTAACCTCTAAATTTTGATTTCAGTAGCATATTTCTATTTTATATTAATCACTAAAAAAAAAACTAACATGACACCATAATTTATTTAAAAATATTTTTTTCATTATTAAATTAAAAATAAAATTTTAATTTTTTTTATTATTATTTTTTTTCCTGAACTGATTCTCCTCTTTTTTTCTTGTCTTCCCATTCTTTCTGCGAGTAATTATTATAAGTTTCAAAGAATATTATTTCTTAGATGAGAGACACGTAGATCATGTTAGAGTCGGCATCAAAGAAAAATTGGACTATATTAGCAATATATTTGTTGGATGATGAAAGTCTCACATCGGCTAATTTAGGGAATGATCATGGGTTTATAAGTGAGGAATACTAACTCCATTGGTACGAGGCCTTTTGGGGAAGCTCAAAGCAAAGCCATGAGAGCTTATGCTCAAAGTGGACAATATCATACCATTGTGGAGAGTCGTGTTCGTCTAACAATATTTACATGCGCAAACAAGGCGTAAATTTTGCCATTTTGGCCTCTTTGAATCTTCTTATAATTTAAATATACTAATGTTACTTCCCATTATATTTCCAATATTAACTAAAGAAACTAATGGATGAACTAAAATGCTATTTAATTCATCAAAATTGATTTTTCTATTAAAAATTCATAGGACTGAAGAAACTAAACTAAAAATTTAAAGTTTCCTTTTTGTGACTTTTTCCCCTCAATCCTTCAAGAATTTGAAGAACCACGCATGAAAAACAATAATAACGCAAACAAAAGAAAAAAAAGAATGCCAAAAATAATAACAGAAATGAGAGCTTAAGTCAACTGGTTAAGATATTATACTAATAGGAGAAATATTCAATCCTAGCCCACCCGATAGTAGAAACTTGGAGTTAAGAGCGCCCCGTTCAACGAAAAAAACAAAAAAAAGTTGCAACGTATTAAAATTTCCAAAAAGAGAAAAGATAAAGTTCCATGTAGTTGTTCTTCTTTTTAGAATTCCGAAGGAGAAAAAGTAATTCAAAGATTCAGAAAGAAAAAGGAAGAATGAGGGACTCCCTGTGCTAAGATTTAAGAGGGTGAAGCATCCTTATTCCTTTCTTTCTCCCCATCTCTAAGTTCTCATTCCTACATACATCTGAACAGATATCATATCATATATGATATTCAAATAAATGCATCCAAGTGTCACATTCAAAAAAGAAAAGAAAGGAAGAAGAAGAAGGAATATAGAGACATGAATTTGCATGCTGCTAACTCGAATGTTTCCTATTTGCCACAAGATATTTTCACGTTTTGAAACGAAATGGCGCATAAGAATCGTGTTCAGAGCTTTCGTAAAAGGACTAATCAAACTGTGCGTCTATGTTCGGAATAAACCATCAAGAATGTCCCAGAATTAATCTGCAAGCTACTGATAAACACATCACCAATAGCTTGGAAAGTAGCCGAAAACCTGAGATTCTCCCTCACCAGACAAAGAAGAGTACAAATACAAGCCAGTGACAAGAAACATAACAGTTCGGAAGATTTTTGAAAGAACCTCTTCTCATAGCCGGCTAATGACTGCCTCCACCTCTGCAGGAGTGTAGAGATGATATGTCGGAGCCACCTTCGCGATATCGACATTGTTGGGAGTCACCTGAAATTGGAGGGACGCAGTTTCATCCACAGATTATTAGATGGCAAAAGTTAATGTTAGAAGTGCAATGCTTCTTGATATCTCATTCCTATGTTTAAAAAATGCACTATTATTTATTCACCTTCTCTTCCATAACTTGCTTCAGAATGGACAGTGCTATGGTTTCAGCTTCTTTAAGAGTTAGGTCCTGCAATCAATTGAACAAAACCAAGAAGTCCATTTAATATAAGTCGCAAAAACATATGGTGTTCTAACTTTGAGATATGTAGTTGCTTAAGCATGGGTGTAAAAGTCCTAAACGTTTAGGTGACGCTTGTTGCGCTCTTTGTTGGAACTTCTTTGGTAAGTGAAAAATGGTAACATTTATCTCAAATAATTATAATAATAAAGAGTGCAGAGAAATGGCTGTTTTATATATAAACTCTAAAGCATTAGATATATCTCGTATCTCATTTGACTTGTACATATCATATATACATATATATAATGTACGTATATATGTATGTATGTATGTATGTATGTATCTCAACTTTTCACATTTTAACTTCATAAACACCATACCTCATATTACTTGTAAATAAAAGGTTCACTCTTAGTGACCACATATCTATCTAAAATTTTATATTTTAACGAGAATAGCTACCAAAATCCTATGATTGGAGAAATATGAGGTTGGAATGGGCTTCATCTGTCTAGTTTTTTTTTCTGAAAATGGAAGGAAAAGGAAAGGCCGTCTACCACCATAGAATTCAGTTATATCTGACACCGATATAGTAGAAAACATACCTTGTTGTATTGCTCTTGCAGAGAACTATCTGCGCCTTCAGAACCTGAACCGATAGCTTTAGCATTGCATTGCCAGAAAGTGCCAGATGGATCAGTGTAGAATCTGCATACCACAGATTATCAAGTTAAAAACCGAGGGGAAAACAATATTTCTGCCAGCATATTACGGAGGGAATTTTACTTAATCCATAATGCATAATCCAGATGATGCACAAAGTTCTGATATGAATATTATTAAAACGGTATACAATGCTAGCAGAGCATTCTACACAACTAAAAATGAACTCTACATCAAAAATTGCATCAATATGCAAACAAGTAATAGCTAATAATGATTAAAAAAAATTACTTGCCATTAAAAAGCAAATGAATGCAGTGGCCTCAGCAGAGGATTTAATGTTCTAATCATAGAGTGAACTTAAAATTAGACATATGAGTGCCAAACCAAAACTTGTTTCATAAAGCTTGAAGGTGCATGCATGAGACTGAAACTGGCAAATAATAAAACAGAAAACATAAACAATGGTAAAAAAATAATCAAGCAAAGAAAAAAATCGTAAATGTAAATCCAGACGCAATACCAAAGGAGAATCACTGAAGTGCATATTACCATTGAAAATGTTAAATTTATTTTTACATTGTTAAAAGAAACACTGGAATGTCTATATTCTAGTTATAACCACCCCCAACAAATTATCCTAAACCGACTGTAAACTAATGCATCGCTGGTTATACAGCCTTATCATTACTCTGCCTTAAAAATTCTTTGTCCCACATGAGCGGGTACACAAGCAATGCTCAAAATGGCAAACAAATCATTTTTGCTTGGTCCTTATCTCAAAAGAAAACATAGAAACACTAACTCTGAGTCAATCTTGATTATTTTGAAGACGGTTGAACAATTGAAGAGAAAAAGATGAGGATCGTTGGGATAAAAATGATAAAGTGTATCATTTGATGACCCATGTGAATTTATTATCTCTTTGAGGGTGGTCCGTTGAGTAGCAGTGTGATGATACCTTTTTCTTGACTTTCGGTTGATTGGAATCTTTCTAAATTAAATCTCCTTTGTCATTAGGGTTGGGGATGACCATTTAATTCTCCAACTTATATCATTTTTCTACACTACATGTCTCTCAGCTCAAAGGTATTTGAATGCAACTAATCAGGCAGTATCGCATAAATTTCAAAAGTTGCAATTTGAACTTTTTCCCTAGGTGTATGATTACTACAAGTATGAAATACATGAGAAAAATACCTAAAAGTATGAAATATAAAAAACGACACAACCCCTTTTCCATGCCATCCCAACAGAAGGATGCAAAAAAAAAAGAGCACACACACACCCACAGCCATCACTTGGGCCATGGACGTGGTGGTACAAAATACAGAATGCAGTGAGATAACAGCTAGTCGCATATATCAGTTTGCAGTGAAATAACAGTCACATAAATCAGTTTGCTCATTATGTGTTTAACTTACAAGCTGGGCCCCTTCTCATCATGGCCGGCAATGAGAAGAGCTACACCAAATGGTCGAGACTGTAAAGAGAAAAAAAAAAAAGTGTATTATATTAGCAAGTAAAATAGTGACAACATGTATCCTTTTTCAACATAGCGAAAAGTAGAAATTATCTAATTCTTTCAAATATGGAAGATGGTTGTGCAAAATACACTATAAAACCATCCTACATTTTACTAGGACAGGATATCATCTAAATAAAATCACTGGAAAAGTATACTAATATCTGCATAAATTCATGTCAATAACATCAGAAAGTCACTTATTCAAGAACTCATTATTTTTTACATCCGAAAGATTAAGCATGAAATAATTCCCTAATCAAATAATACATGTGAAGGTTATATTTTAGATAGATGCTAATTAACAAAATAAATGTTGTTAAGCCATTGCCATTTTTCAGTGAGTCAAGATTAATTCAACAGGAAGTGGAGAAGAGATAGAGTAAAATGAAGAGAGAAAAGTTGCAGTAATAACCATGGACTCCTCATCGCCTTCACCAAATCTTAGGGCTAGATCACAAAGAGCTTGAGTTGTAGACTCCACAGTCATTGGTTCACCATATGAGAACCGATGGTTCTGCAAAACATGAAGTTCAAAATTCAATAGCTTGCCTTTAAAAGATAAGAACTATAGATGCAAGGCAAGAGCATCAACAGCACCTGGGTCTCAACTCGAGCATGTTCAACAAGTGTGTGAGCATCAGCAATTAATCCACTCATTGCACATCCTATATGCTCATCAATTTCCATGATTTT